AAAAACCAAAGAATCCGCCTGCCAATGCAGGGGACACGGGTTCGAGCCCTGGCCTGGGAAGATCCCACATGCCGTGGAGCAACGAAGCCCATGCACCACAACTACTGAGCCCACAAGCCACAACTGCTGAGCCCGCATGCCACAACTACTGAAGTCCGTGTGCCTAGAGCCCGTGCTCTGCAACAAAGAGTAGCCCCCGCTCGCCACAGCTAGAGAAAGCCCGTGCGCAGCAATGAAGACACAGTGCCGCCAAATATAAATAAATAAATTTATTTTTTAAAAAAGAAGAAGAGAGTTGAGGGGCAAAGACTCGGCCTGCCGTTTGACTGCAACCCAAGCTGTGCAGAATTAGATAAGCTTGGGGGAAAAGGAAGTTCCATATTAGGGTGGAGAGAAGATCCCCAAAGCATTGCTCAAATGTTCTAGAGCAGTAAGCACATGGCTAGGTCATCCGCATTTTGAATTTTAGGAAGAGATCTGTACTCAGGCTGGCTGATGATGGAGGAACAGCAACCCCTTCCACCTGGCGTTTTCGGCCTCTGTAACAAGGGCAATGACTTATACTCCAGCATGGCTGAAAGGATTAAGGAAGTAACTTGGGACCTTGGAAGTTCTGAGAACACAAAATTTGGAAGCATTATGGAAAGTTTCTATTCTCCTGCTTCCCGCAATACAGGTGTGGAGTTGGCCAACCTTGTTCATTCCTTCCCCCAATATGTATGGAGCACCCTCAATGTGCCAGGCACTGAAACAGAACCCTAGTATAAAACAGAGATCACCAGAGCCACAATCCTGCTCTCCTGGGGGGTTCCCTAGAGCAATGGGTCTAAACTGGGTGTTATTCTGCCCCCTAGGGGGCATCTGGCAACGTCTGGAGACATTTCTGGTTGTCATGACTGGTGGGAAGGGGGTGCTTCTGGCATCTCGTGGGTAGAGGCCAGGGATGCTAACACCCTACAGTGCATAGGACAGTCCCCCACAGCAAAGAATGATCCAGTCCCAAAGGTCCACAGAACCGAGCGGTGTTATTAGTGGCCTAACAAGGCCACCCCCATTGACACGATGGCAGATGAGAATGTTAATGACAGGGAAAGACAGGAAGCTGAAAGATCACAGACACCATCACTATCATCTACGTGGAGACCGGAAGGTTGAGGAGGAATGAGGCTGCAGGAGCAGAGCAGACCTTCCAGGCAGAGGGCAACTGCATCTCTGAAAGCAGAAGGGCAAAAATGCTTTTAGGGGAAAGCGAGTGTGTGCCGCAGAGGAGGCGTGAAGCAAACAAGGAAGCCACCCAAAGGACCGCCCATCACTCCATGTGGGAGGAGGACCATCTTTACTACGCAAGGAGGCATAACTTGGTATTAAGAGCGTGGGTTTGGAGTCAGGGTTGAATTTAAATCCCAGCTCCACCACCCTACAGGCTGTGTGGTTTTGGACAAGACACACACTCCGAGTTCCCAAACCCAGTTTTAGAAAATAAAGCAGAGAGTGGAGGGGGAGGATAATATCTACCTCAGGGGGCAGGCGTTAGGATGAAATGAGAAAATGCCCATCAGTGGCTTAGCACACTGCCACAAAGAACAGATATTGTCATTTGTGTTTTCAAAGGTCACTCTGGTCCCAGCGTGCAAAATAAAATGGGGAAGGACAACCAGAATCACTCCTTTCCGGGAATACAAAGCAAATGAAAACAAAATATCAAGATTTTACAGAACAAAAAATCACCTTGAGCAAAGCAGAGCTTCCAAGAAAAGTCCTTAAGGACAACACCGTGTAACCGTATGTAACAAGGGCAGTGACACAGACAGCTTCTGTGCCCAATGAAATCACAGCCTTCGCAGGTGAGGCTGTCCAGATATGTGGAACCATGTACGCATCCATCCATCCATCCATGCATCCGTCCACCCGCCCTAGCCAGCGTGAGGAATGAATGCAGTGGAAATCTTAGGAAGATCTTTACCATGGCCCCTGGTTGACGATGGGAATGAACGCGCACCCCGGCCGGGGCAGAGCCCTGAACTTGAGTCTCAGGGATGGCAAGAGTCCTCCATGCAAACTTGTAATGGAAGCACCTTGATCCAATTTTCTAAAAACCTTCTCGCTTAACAACTGCTCACCCTGGCATCTCTCCCTGCATGTTAATTCTTCGAAAGAAATAAGGACACTTTCACATCAACGATCCTTTAAACGGCAATGATGTGGTTTCTTAAATCCCCTCCTGGCGAACTAAGTCTCATTAACCAGAATTAAATCATTTCTGCTTGATACTCTGAGAGGGCCGACTGAGATATATCCGAGTGACAGTCTTATAGCCAGAAGAGTGATATTTGCTTTCAGAAATGAACTAACCAGGTACATAAAGTATAGCAAACGGACATTAAGAATCGGGGCGGGGCGGGGGTGGGGGGGGGGGGCGCGGGAG